CATAACCTTTACTGGGTAGGATAATCTCCTTCAGTCACTTCCTTGTAGCTTATCAGTAGAGCAGTGACCTTGGAATAGCCCTTATAATGGAACACAGAGATTAACCTAGACAGGATTAAACTCAACAGAACTAGATTAACAAACGCCCTAACCTTTGGAATAGAATGGGTAGGATTAAAATCAACTGGTATAAATACAGATGTAACAGGACAATAATGACTGAACCTGGCTGGAGAACCTGGCTAGGCTGGTGATCAACTGAACGCTGTCTCTGTGTCATTCCTTCTTCGCCGACTCTGTCCACACCTTTGGGAACCCCTGGACCTGCTGGAGTTGGACCACAACAGTTACCTACAAGGGAACTCCCATTAGACTACCAGCTGATTTCTCAATAGAAACACTTCAGGACAGAAGGGAGTAGCATGAGGTATACAAAGTAATGAAAAGCAAGGGACTGAATCCAAGACTACTCTATCCAGAAAGGCTATCATTCAAAATTGAAGGTGAAATTAGGAGCTTTACAGAAAAAAAGAGATTAATGACATTATTACCACCAAGCCAGCATATAAGAAATGCTAATGGCACTGTTGTAAGAAGAAATAGAAAGAGAGGGAGGAATATGGGCATAAAGAATAAAAATGGCAATAAAGAAATACTTATCAATAATAACCTTAATTGTAAATGGATTAAATGTTCCAATCAAAAGGAAACATGACCCATATACATGCACTGTCCAAGAGATCCACCTCAGAACCAAAGACACAGAATGAAAGTGAAGGGGTGAAAAAAATTTTCCATGCAAATGGAAACAAAAAAATAAAGGTGGAGTAGCAATATTCATATCTGACAAAATAGACTTCAAAATGAAGGTTATAACAAGAGACAAAGAAAGTTACTACGTAATCCTAAAGGGATAGATACAACCTTAGGATATAACCCTGTTAAACATATATGCACCCAATTTAGGAGCACCTAAATACATTATAAAACTTCTGGAGGACTTAAAGAGAGAGATGGACAGCAATCAATAATAGTAGGGGACTTTAACATCCCACTGACATCACTAGATAGATCTTCTAGGCAAAAAAAAAAAAATCAACGAGGAAACAGCAACTCTAAATTACTCACTACATCAAATGGATTTAATAGACACTTCACCCCAAAGATACAGAATGTACATTCTTCTCAAGTTCATATGGGACATTCTCAAAGACAGACCACATGCCAGGGCACAAAACAAATCTTTACAAATTCAAGAGGATTTAAATCAAGCATCTTCTCAGATCACAATGGCATGAAACTAGAGATCAATTACAATAAAAACACCCCAAAACAATCAAACACAGAGAGGTTAAATAGCATGTTATTCAACAATTAATGGGTAATGAATAAAATAAAGGAAGAAATAAACATTTCCTGGAAACAAATGAAAATGAACACACAACAACCCAAAACTTATGGGACATTCCTGAGAGGAAAGTTCATAGCACTATGGCATATCTCTAGAAATAAGAAAAATTTATTCAAAAAATCCAATACTACAATTTAAAGATATAGAAAGAAAACAACAAGAAAAGCCCAGAGTAAGTAGATGAAAGGAAATAATAAAGATCAGAGCACAAATACCGTATTTTTCTGTGTATAAGGTGCTCCCATGTATAAGACACCTCCAACTTTTCCAACCCAAAATTAAGAAATCAATATTTTAAACATTTTGCTGGTTTTCCTCTTAAGGCCTTCTTTTTGGCATCTTAAGGAGTGGTTCTTCCTGTTTTCTCCACTGTCTGATCATACCCTCAGTGGGAGGAGGTCCAAATGGTCTCTCTGCAGCTCATTTTCCATGCTCTTTTGCATAGCTGATTACATTCAGTTGGAATTTTTCAGAGTAAGACAATCGCTTACCGGTATTGACATCTTTATGGGCTCAGAACGCTCCGGTCCCTGTTGCATCTGTGCACTCTCCACCTCCACCTCCAATTATGGCATCAGCTGACGTAACAATAAGAAACAATAAGTAACAATAAGGCTCGTGATTGGAGGGAGCCTGTTTAACAAGGTATGGGCAGCTATGCACCCATGGCTCCCTCCTCGGCTGACTTCCGTGTATAAGAAGCCCCTCAACTTTCAGTCTAACGATTTTAGAAAAAAAAAATAGTGTCTTATACATGGAAAAATATGGTAAATGACATAGACTAAAAAATCAATACAAAAGATCAATGAAACCAAAACTGATTCTTTGTTGTTTTTTTTATTTAATTTTTTTCATTTAAAAAATATATTTTATTTTTGATAGGATTACAGATATCTCCCATTCCCCCCCTCCCAGCCCTTACCCTCCTTCAGGTCTTCGCTACCCTATTGCCCATGTCCATGGGCTATGCCTATCTATCTATCTATCTATCTATCTATCAAACCCTAATATGCAAATAGACCAAACAGTGGAACAACAACAACTGAACAACTGAACAACTGGTCACTATGATGTGCACTGACCACCAGGGGGCACGCGTGGAACATGGTGGGCATTGGCAGCAGGCGGCAGAGTGCGGAACATGGTGGGCATCAGCCATGGTGGGATAGTGGAGCAGGTGAACAGGGTCACCAGACCAAAGTGGGGTGCTGGTCACTGTCATTGGGGCGAGCCTCTGGTGGTTACTAAAAATTCTTTTCTCCTGTGCACTGCAGTCCCACCAGGCGCTTGCACCTGCTGCCAGAGTTGGCCCCACTCGCACCCACAGCCAGCACCAGAGCTGCTGCTCGCACCCAGCTGGCTCTGGCGCCAGCCCTGATCAGGTGCGAGCAGTGGCTGCCAGCCCCAATCACCCCACAGGGCATCTCCACCTCCCCCTGCTGCTGAGGGGCGATTGGGGCCGGCATCTGCCTCTCACATCCACTGCCAGCAACGGTCCCACTCATACCCGCTGCGGGCACCAGAGCCACTGCTTGTACCCGCTGTGGGTACCTGGCACCAGTCCCGATCCCTCAGTGCCATCAGTGGGTGCGAGCAGGGCCAGTACTGTCAGTGCGCGAGAGCAGCAGTGGCGGGAGTGGGGCTGCCGGCAGACAGGGGACTGGAGGCTTCAGTGGGAGGGGCCTGGTGGGGGTGTGGAGGATGGGCCAAGACTCGTCCCTGTGCCCACTGCAGCCTTGTGGCCCACAGTTCCTTTCAAGGTGCATGAATTTGTGCACTGGGCCCCTAGTAAGTATTTAAGTTCTTTGTTTTATCTCTTCTTATCTCCCCAGTCCCACATTGAGGTATGTCAGGCTGTTCCATTCCTCCATGATTTAGGTCTTATTTTGTTGGTCAATTCATTTTGTTCATTAGATTTCACAAATAAGTGAGATCATGGATATTTGTCTTTCTCAGTTTGGCTTATTTTACTTAGCATAATATTTACAGGTCCATCTATGCTGTCCCAAAGGGTAAGAGATCTCTCTCTCTCTCTCTCTCTCTCTCTCTCTCTCTCTCTCTACAGTTGCATAGTATTCTGTAGTATAAATGTCCTGCAGCTTTTTTATCCAGTCATCTACTGATGGGCACTGGGGCTGTTTTCAAATCGTATCTATTGTAAATAATGCTGCTATTAACATACAGGTGCATATATCCTTTCTGATTATCTTTTTTTGGGGGGTGGGGGTGGGGGGAGAGTTTAGAATATATTCCCAGAAGTGGGATCACTGGATCAAAAGGCAGTTCCATTTTTAATTTTTTGAGGAAATGCCATACTGTTTTCCATAGTGGCTGCACTAATCTGTGTTCCCACTAGCAGTGAATTAGGGTTCCCCTCTTCTCTGCATCCTCACCAGCACTTGTTAGTTGATTTTTTATGATAGTCATTCTAACAGGTGTGAAGTGATATCTCATTGTGGTTTTAATTTGCATTTCTCTGATGATTAGTGACTTTGAGCATTTTTTCATGTGTCTCTTGGCCATTTCTATGTTCTCTTTGGAGAAATGTCTATTCAGGTCTTCTGCCCATTTTTAAACTGGATTGTCTGTCTTCCTTTTGTTAAGTTGTATGTGCTCCTTGGTAATTTGGGTATTAACCCCTTATCAGATATATCATTGGCAAATATGTTCTCCCATGTAGTGGGCTCCCTTTTCAATTTGATGATGGTGGGGGTTTTTTTGTTGTTTTTTGGGGTGTTTTTTTTTTTTTGCTGTGCAGAAGCTTTTTATCTTGATGTAGTCCCATTTGTTTATTTTCTCCATAGTTTCCTTTGCCCTAGAAGATGCATCTGTAAACATATCCTATATAATAAAGAGGGAATATGCAAATTGACCATCACTCTGACACAAAGATGGCAGCGCCCACAGCAGAGAGTGAGTTTCCATAACGAGCCTTAACAAGCAATCAGCAGGGACCTGAGGCTGCACCCCCAACCACCCCCGTGGGGCTTGACAAGGGACCCTAGGCCATGCCCCCCACCCTGGCACCAGGCAGGGGGACCTCAGGCCATGCCCCCCACCCTGGCGCCAGGCTGGGGGACCTCAGGCTGCACCCTCCGCCTTGGCGCCAGGCTGGTGGACCTCAGACCATGCCCCCTGCCCAGCGGGGCTTGACAGGGGATCTCAGGACACATCCCTCACCCAGTGGGGCTTTATGGGGGACCTCAAGGTGCACCCCTCACCCCGGCCTGGGCTGGGGGACCTCAGGCTGTGCCCCCTGCCCTGGCACCAGGCCAGGGGACCTGAGGCTGCTCCCCCTGCCTGGCGGGGCTTGACAAGGGTGGGACTGGCCAGGTCTGGATCTAGCCCAATGTGGGGAGGACCAGCCAGGTCTGGGTCTTGTTTGAGTTTGAGGTTCATGTGGGTGGGTGGGGTCTTGACTCTGGGTCCCATGGTGCACCCCAGACTCTGACAGGAGGAAGATTTTCATATACATTTTACTAATGTTCTTTCATCTCTGACACTTCTATTATAGAGAAAGGGCAAATAGCAATATTAAAATATTTCCTCTAATTAATCCCTTTTAATGTGCATGAATTTCATCCACTGGGCCACTAGTTGCTATATAAGATGTCTGAGATTTTACTGCCTATGTTTTATTCTAGGATTTTTATGGTTTCATGCCTTACATTTAAGTCTTTTATCCACCTTGAGTTTATTCTTGTCTATGGTATAACTTGGTGGTCTTTTGCATGCATTTGTCCAGTTTTCCTAACACCATTTGTTGTAGAGACTATCTTGACTCCATTGTATGTTCTTGCCTCCTTTGTCAAATATTAATTGACCATAATGGTGTAGGTCAATTTCTGGGGTCTCTGTTCTGATCTATTGGTCTACAAGCCTGTTCTTGTGCCAGTGCCAGGCTGTTTAGGTTATAATGGCTTTGTAGTATAGTTTGATATCTTCTGACTTTGTTCTTCTCTCTCAAGATTGCTGCAGTTTTCAGAAACTTTTATGATTCCATATAAATTTTTGGATTTCTTTTCCAGTTCTGTGAAGTGTGCCATTGGTTTTGAATAGGGATTGTGTTGATTCTATAGATTGCTTTGGATAGTATAGACATTTTAATTATGTTAATTCTCCATCCAGGACCATAGTACATGCTTCCATTTGTTTGTATCTTTCTCTATTTCTTTTTTTTAATTTCCAAAACTTTCCAAGTACAGGTCTTTTACCTTCTTGGTGTGAGAATAAACAAGTAATCTTTTTTTGTCAAAGAACAGTTTAGATAGCCGCCATTTTGGACTGAGTAATTTGGCAGCCACCATGTTGGCCACATGACTTGGAGCTCCCCTGGGGGGCCTCCATCTTGAAACAGCAAAGGTCAACCCCTCCCTTTGAATTAGCCAATCACGAAAGACTGTGAGCCTGAGCTCCAATCAAGAGTGAGGGACAGGTCACGTGCATCAGGGATTGTAAAGCCGAGCGGAAACCTGTTCGGTGTGCATGTGCTCCCAGACCATGTGCATGCACACCCTTCTGTGCAGGAGTAAAGATATTTGCCTTGCTGCCTGGCTCCTGAGTATGCTTTGTGTTCTACCGGGACCCATGAATTTGGGAGCTCACCTTATTTCTTATAATTGTTAAATTTATTCTTAGGTATCTTATCTTTGTTGTTGCAATGCTAAATGGGTTGCTTTTTTAGTTTGTCTTTCTAAGAGCTCATTATTGGTGTATAAAAATGCTATCAATTTCTGGATTTGATTTTGTATCCTGCTACTATGTTGAATTCATTTACTAAATCTAGTAGTTTCC